CCCCAACCTGTTTACCTGCAAATATTAATCCGTAACCACAAAAGAGTAAAGGATAAAGAAAATTCATCTGAGCAACCAACATCATGGTTAATTATAAACATAATTAAACTTATACCAACCAACTTAAGCCAAGACATTTCAGAATTCTGTCCCATAGTTACAAGACAATAGGAAGTGCCTATTACAGCAACCTATTCTCATCACTGTGACAATGCAAAGAGAAAGGGGTGTTTAGCACAGAAAAGTCTCAGCTGACACTCAGTTAAGTTTTTACACAGGTTGTGAGCAGATGTCTGAGGAACCTTAGGCAAGAGATAATTGAAAACTAATTGAGCACCTTAATCACTATTTCCCTTTATACACAGACTGAGATTCACACATTTCAACAACAAAAGCATTTCTAGGCTGCTCTGATTGCAGTGGTCCAAAAGACCATCAGGCCACATCTTGATTTTAGATGTGTCTACTTTCACAGAAGCTTATTCCTAATTCATCCACTTACTTACTATACACAATGCTAACAAAACCTGACACTAATGAAAGAAGTATTAACTTTTTCCTACATGCAAGACAATTTTTGAGAGTAAATATTTGAAAGGCTTATACTTGTTAGAAGCAAAAATAGTAACAATAATAAAGGAGTCACTACTGTGACTCCCTTCTGTCTTATGACCTTCCCTAAGAAACAGCTACATCACAATAACCCCCGCTCCAAACTTAACCAGGTGCCTAGCTAGCATGGAACTTACAGCTGGGGACAAACAGAGTTGTAAAAAAATAATTAAAATATTTAGCTGTATAGGCAAAGTGAAAACATAGCAGCTCATAAAAGTTGAAAGAAAACTGCTTTATCTTGGATAGCCTGGGTGGTATTGGCTGAGCATATAATAAATGTTTCCTCTGCACCACTCAAAAACTGAGCCCTCCTGTGGCATTTTGCACCATTTTCTAGACCACCCACTCAGATGAGGATACACAAACCACATGTGCTAGGAATGTCTGCTCTGCACCAGAAGCAGCATCAGCATTATGACCTCACTCTTTGCACAGTCAGGATTTTAATACAAACTTGCTTGTATTTTCAACTCCTTTGATTCTTCAATAGTTTTGATGTTGTCACTGGCTATTAGATGCTTAAAGATTTGAAAGAGAAATGTAATTGTAGGAAAACCCCAGCATTATCAGAGTAGAAATATTTTTAAAAAGTATTTCCTGTCCTTCTCCTGAAAAGAGATATGCTTTATTTCTAGATCATATTAAAAAGCTGCATCTGACACCTTCACAAACCCACTCTTTCCTAAACAGGACTCAGATGTTGCATTCTGCCTGTCTGTGAGCAATGATAAAAGTTAATAATTTATTCCTTGCTGTGATGAGAAGGGTGATGTTCCCTTACCAAAATTGCACCTTTATATCATCAGCTCTCTAAAGGAACATACAAAAATGCATAATCCATTTAATGGAAGATTCAGGAAATGGTTACTTCCAGTCAGAAATATACAGAATGATAATAAAAATACATCTGCTGCATTCACAGGCTTACATTTGACTTCACTCAAATTTCAAGACTGGAAAAATTAAAGTAAATGAAAAATGCAAGATTACCAGTTTTCAGTACAATCAGCCTGGCTGAGGTAAAGCAGAATGTAAGTCAGATGAAATACTGAAACAAATGTGAAACAGACATTAGCATCCCAAACAATAAAACACCTTAAGAATTTTTATGTTGCTGCAATACCCATCTCTCTCTGTCTCTACTCACCAGCAACTGCAGATTTTACAGTAGCAAACCAATGCAGCTGTACTACTGCATCTCTTCTTTACACCTTTTTTTCTTCTCCCCACTCCACCCACACCCCGGGGCTTTGTTCTGACTGTGGTAATTTTTCTCTTTCCTGTCTAGTCACAGTACGATTACTTGCTGCTCAATCAAATGCAAGGCCCTTACAGCGAGTGTGCTTTGATGTTAATTTATCTGTCCAGACACAGAGCCAGCCTTGTAAATGTCATGGTTTAGCAGAATTAATACACTGATTAACTTCCAAGCAGGCACAAAAGCACTGCAGATATATGTCTTTTAGTCCCTGTCATCTGTTAGTAAGGCTTTTATGCCCAGCAGTAAGACTCCATACAGTGTATAGAGCAGCATCCTGGTGTACACTACATTCTACTGTACACTGCTTGACAATTAAGAAAACTATTGAGGCTCATAAAAACACATGCCTCACACTTGTTGAACTTTGGAGCATCTCTTATTTCACTGCTTATTTCAGTAGTTCCTCCTAGCTCCTGCTGTGGGTGAAAACCTGACAAAATTTTCATCATGATACTTAATTTCTGCAAACCACAGACCAATGAGCAAACACAAAACAAACTCTGTGGACTGAAACAGGAGTTTACTGAAAGATAGTTTGTCATCAAACTGCAAGTGGTAAAAGATGGGATATGGTGTATATGAACAAATCAAACATCTTACCATCAGAGCAGTGTCTGGAGTAAGATAATGTATACAACAAAACCAAATGAATAAGGCAGTTTTCACTTCAAGCAATTCTACAGTTTTCCCATCAGTTTTGCAAACTAAGTGACAGGTCTTGGAACCAATGGGTCATTCAAAAGACCCCAAAATACTGGTATAGCTTCTAGGAAAGAAGGATTATACCAAGTAAGGACCAAGGACTCAAACTAGATTGTGAAAGTACTTTATTTCACTGTGAGAATGGGAAAGAAGAACAATGGGCCAGGGAAAACCCAAGAACTTGTAATTTCCTTCCCAGAGACTAAAATAAACTTTAATAGAAATATACTGGGCTCTCCAAATGCACTGTACTGTATACATTTTGTTTCTGAAACTGAAAGCATAGACTTTTACTTTTCCTAAAAACACCAAACCAATGAAGAGAGAGAGAAATTATCAACCATTTCTTACAGTCCAAAGGCTGAAGACTGAGCACAGATTTAGTTTTAGCTTGGAAGACACTCTTCAGTGTACGAGAAGAGGAAAGGAGGCCCCTACCTCCTTCCTAGCTCTTATTCTTTAGCATGGACTAAGATGGCCTTCAAATTTAAATGATACAGAAAGTTTTGTAAAGGCTCTCAGCTGAATAGAATTTGTAAAAAAAAATCTCTATATATATATTTTTAAATTGTCTATCCAATTGGGCATCAACTTTCTGAGGAGGAGAGATTCTACTGAGGAAACTGTCTTTGCTACTGGATACAACTACTGCTCTAGTAACAGCAACTCATGCTGCAAATTACTCTAGATATTGGAACTTACTGCTGATCTCTGTCTGTCTGGTCCAAATTCTCTTATATAACTGTTTTAAACAGCTTTATTCTAAGTAAGACTTCAAAACATTTGTTGCCAAAGCACTTTAACACATCCCAAAGATTAATGCTCACAGACGTTAAAGACTTGGTAGGGTATCTTCTTGTTTTTCCTTTAAGAGAAATATGAATGTCTGAAATTAGGTGAACATAGATTTATTTCATTTCCATACAAAATTAGATGAAAATAGTCACTCTATTTCTATCAGAGTTTTGTGAAAAAGTCAACACACACATTGACACCAACAGTCTATTTTCTCTCTCCCATTGAATTAAAAAATTTAAGAGTTTAAGGATCATCCACAGTTTGCATGAAATTCAGCACTGATTTGATACTGTAAATGATGCCATCTCCCTTTTATGCTTATTCACCTAGTTTCTCCTTTTCTCCACTCCTGTTCTCAGTGTACAATAAAGCTTATCTGGTATTTTAAGGATAAAATGATTCATTTCACCATTTCTAAAAAAAACAGTGCAATAGTCGTACTAGAAGTATCCCCTTCTGAAACTCAGTGAGTCTTTACCACAAGACTTAGTTAGAAAAGTCTAAATGGACAAATTTCCATATACATCTGGATATAACTAGAAGACAGGAAAGTTGAACACACATTTGTAGACCAAAGGTTTTTAAGGTTGCTTTTAGATTACCAAACATTTTTATATAAAACAATCAATAAAAATTGAAGTTTATCCCCTTTACATGCACCCTTTTCCCTTCCCCATCATCATCTGCCTTCTGTCAATAGTAAAGTTAACATTACACTCCCAGTCCTCCATCCCCTCCCCAATTGCACATTAAGACATGGACTTAAAAGAACAACATAACGCTTCAAGTATGCTTCATGCCAATCATCAATAAGAGTCATAACATTACTGAAAAAGTACACTTATTCTTCAGAAGCCTTAGGAGGACTTCCTGCAGAGTATGATCAAACAACATTTTAAATAAGAAAAAAGCCCCCCAACCCAATATGTATCATGCCCTTTCAAAAAGAGTAAAGTGTAAAATTTTCTTTGGACTTAAAGAAACAGTATTAAGATTTACCATCTGAATAAGAAATAACCCCAATAGTTTTTCAGTGCTGCACAAACTGTGCACATGAAACAGTAAGTCATTAAGATACTACTGTTTAGCTCTACACATAGAGACTACATGTGGCATAATAAGCATACACATGACATACTGGCCTGTCTAGCAACAAGATACATTTATCAGTCTGGCAAACCTGAATAAACCTTTGCATCCAGAAGTATTTTTAAAATTATTATTTTCTCTTGAAATTTAGAAATTTGAATATTTAATATAAAGGCAATGATTTCATCAAGAAACCATCAGCAATATGAGAGCATGAAGCACTGATGTGAAACTGAGGATACATCCTCTCATTTGATCATGCATAAACAAGGATCCTGATTTCAAGAAATAATGGATGGCATGAAAGAATACTCATTTTTATAGACAAGAAATTCTTCTGGAAACACAATAAGGTTATCAAACAGATACCAATATCTGCAAAGCTTAAAAAGCATACGATGTGCATGTATGTGTGTATGTATATATATATATATACACAGGTGTGGTGCACGTGTATATATAAACACACACATACACATGATATCATACATGTATTTATTTCATGTATTTAACAGTATAACAACATTTTGTTTTCTTTTCAAATAAAAGGTTTTAATTTAGCAGTTGTAAAAAAACAAACTAAATCAGAAAAAAAATCCCCAAAACAAACTAAGCAGATCATATACTATATGAACGAACAAAAACGTTATGCAAAAAGTTTTATGGTAGAAGTGAGTCACACACAGCAGAAGAGTGTTGAAACTCAAAGTAATAAATAGCTCCAAATTAAAAATTTTCTACAACATGTTCTTTAAGGACAGGATCAGTACTTTTTCTTTTATCATGAGCTCCTACAGAATGCCTTCACTCTAATATATATTTAATTTTGTAACATTTAAATGGACACAAAAATGTAGACTGTAACAGTTGCCAGGTTCAGGACAGTATACATAGCATTTTTTGTTGAAAGTCTGATTGGTTTATTCACTGAGGCTAGACAGCAAGTCATATGAACCTATTTGGTGCATTTTTAACCATGGTCAATATCAACAAGTGGATAGAATCAAGGACCTGCAGTCCAGCTTGCTGTGGTCCAACATACTGTGGTAGACAGGAAATGAAATACAAGACCACTGCTTGGTCGCCAAGTTTGTATCGTGTTTCCCAGAACTGCAGCAGTGGAATCAAGACTGTAGTGTTTTAATAGACTAAAGAAAGATAGCAAGAAGTGGCATTTTAATGTGGATAAGGTAAGTAGGCTTGTGAAAGTACTGCATCAAAAGAGCACACAAGGGACTCCACTACTTGCAATATCTGGTAGTGTCACTCAGTGACTCATTGAATTTAGGATACATGTATGCAATAATAAATAGATCAGTTATGTAGTAAGGCAGTGTGTTGAACATGCATTCATCTTGTGGACTTGAACACCACAGAGAGAGATACATGATATCATACACATTCATTAAGAACAAGTATTTTTGTTTGTTTTTCTGTGTTTGTTTTTCAAGGCTATCCAGGCAAACTCTTCCAGAGCATTTTCTTCTTGAGAAGAGTGGTCCTCTGAGTCTGGTCACTTTTGCTCTCCCTTATCAAGAGACTGGCTTTAAGGAAAAATAAAAGCTGAAGAGGTTTTTGGTTTTTCTCCCCTCCATTTTGGTCGCATCATTCTGCATACATCATTTAAAGAACAGTTTTTGACACAGCCATATGCTGAATCCTCAGGAGGTTCCAGATGTTTCCAGATAACTCTGCAGTTTACGGACTGTGGTTTTGTCCAGTGAACAAAGATCAAAGTCAAAGGTTGTATTTGTGATATGAAAGTGTCCAGTTTCTTCTATAAGATTTACTATCTGAAAGAAAAGAAAATACGCAGTTGGAAATTCCAGAAGTTTTACATGCTCACTCTAAGTATAATCAAGTACCATATGAAAGGCCTAACATGGGCCAAATTGCCCAATACTTGCAGGTTTAAGCATTATTCTTATAATTCACTTCCTTTCTGATGTGCATTATTGTCCAGATTACAGTATCTTGTTTTTTTGTTTTTAATCATCATCAACTGTAATGTCAGCATACCCATCTGCTATACCCATCTGCTGATGTGGCAAACATTAGATTGACAATATATTTTTCAAATGTTCAAAATGTTTTTTGAAAAAAACTTTGAAAAAAATTTTATAATTCAGTTTAAAAAAATGGGGAGGGGCAAGAGTATACCCTTAAGCTCAAACAAATTATTAAAAGATCCCAGGTAGATCTCTCTGGAATATTTATTAAGTGCATAGCTACTAAGCAGGTTACATTAGGAAATAAATTACATAAGCCTTTCTGCAAGCAAGGAAAACAAACAAATCCTTAGAGAGTCTGGTCCCTATTGCAAAAAAGACAGCTTACAGAAACTGTTAGTTCACACACCAGTAGTCACTTTTTGAGTAACAGAGTTAAATCTGGGTTTTTTTTGCTGGCTTTTTTTTTTAGCCAAATAAACCATGGGAGGACTCCCAGCGAGGTCATAACATCACTTAGGTTATGGGGTCTTCATCCTTGGACATATTTCAAAGCCATGTGACATACTCCCAGGCAATTGGCTCTACATGTCCCTGTGACCTCCAGAGATTCCTTCCAACCTTAATCATCCTACATTTCTGTGAAATGAACAGTAGACACCTAACTTGTGCGTTTCTGCAGTTGTGGCATTTTTCATCTTTAAACTGTAGTCTGTATTTTAAAAGAGTGGTCATACTCAACAAAGAATTGCTGTAAAAATGACTCCAGATATTTTAAATTCTAGGATGCACACCTACCTTGAAAAAAAACACTGAGCATCTTGAAAAGCCAAAGCATTATTTGTCAGAGAGGGCTAACACAGTGCCAACACACGGCTGCTATAAATCTCTTATGTGCGGTTTCATTCCAAGACACAGACATGCCAAGAGCACTCCACCCTGAAGTAGCCCCTGGGTAGCTCATGGACTGACAGAACAACACTGCTCTTCTCAGTCCTTCCAACTCCCTCTCATGCACAACCAAATCCTGCCTGAAACCTCCAGTTTGAAACTCATTTCATTCTGGGGCGTCCACATAACCTCTGCTGAAACACTACTGTGAGATACTCCTTGATTGTTTTGAGCTTTATTATTCTGACTACAATTCTTTTTTCACAGCTGGAGAAGATACAGATGTATGCACATATGGCTTACAGAATGTACCTTAAAAAGACACATCTGTTAGGAATAACTAACTTCACAAAGAACAATGAATTTAAGCTAAATATTTTGTAGATTTCCACTCACCATGTCATTATATAAACAGATTTTTTTCTTCTCAGACCACAGAAGTAAAGACTATGTTAATGATAAATGCAATATGAAATGTTTATTGTCAGGCATGGAATGACACAGATTAAATAGAATGGATACAAGATAAAATAATAAAAGGGAAATGCTTGTTACAATAAAAATCTCCCTTTTCAATCACCTTTTATTTCAAAGGTGGAAAAAAAAAATAAAATCTGTTTAATTTGGTTTACAGCTGCCCAAAATTCTGAAAGCACCTGGAAAAAATCCTGCTTTTATTAACATATCACTTAAATCTGTACCTCTTACTTTCAACTTCTTTTCCATATACGAATTTTTTATCTAAAATAACTAACTTCATTTGTCTGCTTGTTGATTCACAGATTCTTGCAACACTTTTCCATTCCTACTGTTCTTCTGCAATTGACATGAGGAAAAAATAATCAAGTGGGGAAAAAATGATTGATACCAGAAGCAAATTCTGATATGCATTATTATTCTCATTTTTGCCACTCTCTTGAGCCTCATCTGAGAGAGAAGCAAAGGTAAATAGTCAATCCAGCCTCTTTTTGTAAAGTTTAAAATCTAATCTTGAGCTTGCTATCTGAATATCCACTGTGAGACAAATAAATGGCTGCACAAGAAGTTTACAGAAGCAGTGGCCAGGAAAATGCAGTTACATTGAACAACTCTATCACTTCCTTGTGTAACTGTGGAAGAATACTACCCCTAATAACCCCCACTGCAATATACTTGATTTTAGAAACAAAGATTATGTGAAAGTGTTAACACATGTATTTTTAAACAGTGCTGCATATTTTAAGAAATGGATAAGGACTCCTATTGATCAAGTTCTGCTTTGGGCTTTTAAGCTCTAGGTCAAGAGAAACATAAACATTTTAAATATATCCTACGTCCAGCCCCCAAGAGATATAGTTGCTATGTCTGGGCACCTGGCAAATGACTGAAATGAACCCCAAAGGCTTTAATGGATGTACAAAAATGTATCAAGATAAACCCAGACAGCCCAATGAAAAACACCTGCCTGTGTGCCAGTCAATGAGGAATTCATGACTTACAGTATTAGCATATGCATCCTTGTGCTATTCAGAAAATCTTCAAAAAGAATAAAAGGTTGAGATTAGTTACTAGGAAGTCTGACAGTTCTGACATTAAAAACACAGCATTAAAATGTTTTATTCCAAAAGCTCACACTGCAGAAAACAAAAATATCCCATTTGTTCCTACTATATAAGCTTTTCTTTTCTGCAGTAAATTACGTCTCTGTTTACATAATGTCTCTCCAGCTCAGTTTCATCATTATCCATCATAGTATAACTATTTATCAGCCTTTAAACAAGCAAATGAGTGTGTTTGTATAAGGAAGCCAAAGTGCAACTAATGACAGTCATTTTTCAATTTATGGAGGGTTTTTAGGCCATGTGATAGTTTCCAGACCTCCAAGCTGCCCCTGGCAGAAAATTCTAAGAAGATAGTTGCCATCTGAAGTTAAGCACCTTTGGAACATGAGCAACATAATTTTCAGCCATGATGCATACTCTCAATTTCATCCTTGCGCCTGTGCTGCCTAATGCACTGGTTTCTGGATTTTTTACCAGCTGAAGATATGACTTCTGATGCCTAAAAATAAGATACAAAGTTAGCAAAAATGTTGCTGCCTTTCATGAGGTCATGCTAACATTTTCTGCACTGAAAATGCAGAGTTAGAAACACTGCTTTAGCCAGCCAAATTTGAATAGAGTGGATAGACAACATTAACATCCGATTGCAGACTCAGTTAAAAAAATAAAAGCCTCATCACTGTAAATTCCAACCTCTTTCCGTACAGTGAAAGATGTGGTAGAGGAATTTGTTTGTAAATGTGATTTCAGACCAGCTTCTGTCTTGCCATGGTCCAATATTCATATAAAAATTGTTCACAGGATTGATTTCTTGGTCAAACATTCTTCACATATCTTCTCCTTCTCAGGCAATTCTTATATGTTTTTAAGTAGCACCTAACATTAGAATTATTTCATTATGTATCTGGGCACTTGCAGTGTAGTATCACATCTCTACTGCCTTCTCCCCTTCTCAGCTTTCTTCAACAATGTGTCTCAAAGAGAATCCCTCTCTTGGGAAAGAGCCACATTCACAAAGATACATTTTTCTCCTTTCCAATTTGGCTGCATTCCTGCTTGCTGTCATGCCTATGGACTCAGTAACAACTAAGATTGGAAAAAAAATTAAAAAAATAAAATCCTTTTCATGTCCCTCAGTGTAAGTTTAAAAAGCCTGTGCTTTTACACAATGAATTAATGCCTTCATTGTTCTTTTGCAAGTCCCTTCTTTGAAAATCTCTATGCAAGACACTTACCTGCCCTAAAATAAACTAACAAGATGACAGCTACCATTCAGGAACATATGACTACATCACCATTCCACTTCAACACCAACACCTCTAAAACTCTTGCAGCTGTCTACAGTTTTCTGTTGCATATTTTTGCATTTGATCCCTCTTCTTATGCAGTAACCACAATCCCGTTATGCAGTTTTGCACCTTGCTGTTCTCACCTTTATACTTTCTGCAATCTTTATGCATTTCTTAGTATAGAAGTTTCATATTAATCCCTAGAGACTTTCTTAGCTCTGTATCTTTTAAATTTCTGTGCACACTATAAGTAGTTTACATTAACTACATAGCTGCAAAGTAGTAAGGACATTTAAGATGGGATGGCAGATTATTTTTAATGTAGAGAAGCACTGATTCTCTGCAAGTTATCCATTCAATATTGGGAAGATATTTCTGTAAATAGATAAAATCATATTAATTAATCAATTGCAGAACGTTAAAGGATTAAAGGTTGTCAAATTAAGTTCTGTTTTGTTTTACATCAGCATATAGACCATTCACTAGTGCAGACAGGCTAACAGGTAACTAATTTGGCTCTTCCATTGACACCTGGTAGACTTCTGTAGCCAGTATTATGGTATTCCCAGCAGAACTGAACTCCTGTCCCAGCCTGCACAGCCTGGCCATGAATCCAGCTTTCACTGGGGCTGTACCAACAGCCTGCAAATGCTCTGAAACATGGGAAACAATCTGCAAGAACAATTTTCCCCAGGAAGGCAACACCGGTTCTACATCAACCAAATGTATATGCAATCATGAATTACAGCATTAAAATGCCTCACTCCTAATGCAAGTTGTGAGGCAAAGTTCATGAATTAATGTTTTCTCTGGTTTGACAAATTGTCTCAAGAGAAAAAAAAAAAGTTTAGCTTAAAATGCACAAGAGTATACAGCTCTATTTCATTTACTCATAATAGGATACCCTAAATTTCTATCTCAGTTAAGTTTCTTTTCACATTACTTTTTCCTTGTATTGTTAAGCTCCCACAAAGCTTACTATAACAGTACTCTAATATTAGAATGAATACACAACTTAGTGACAAACCCATTATTTTTCTAACAGAGAAATAATTCTTCATCACCAAATAAATGCTGCCAGTAAGAAAGACAATGAAGGGTTCGACTTGAAGCACTCTACTTACTTTCAAAGTATTTCTTAGGATGGCCGAATAATTCCAATTGGAAAGGATTTTGCTAGTCCCAGCCCCTGCTAAGAGCAGGCTCAGTTGTGGAGTCAGATCTGGCTACTCCAGGCTTATCCTGTCAGGATTTTAAAAGCTCTAGACCACCATGATGGGAAAAAAAAAGAAGGTTCCTTTTTTGGTTTTATATGTGCTCTGCACAAAATGTTTTGAAGTTGATTTTCTTTTCCAAAATTCCACATGAAGCCATATAAATCCTATGGTCTAGAGGCTGTCTAAACAGCCCCAGTGAAAGCTGGGTTCATGGCCTGACTGCCCAGGCTGGGACAGTGGCTCAGTTCTGCACTGCTAACAGCAGTACTGGCCACTCATGTGAATCAGAACCAATACCATTTGGAAGCTATGCCTTGGATAACTGGGGAAATGAGTGCTCAGGAAGCAAAGACAAGGTGGGAATTTTTACAACACAGTGTCTTTTCCAGATTCAATTTTAATGCAAACTCTTTGAGGATCAATGAACAATGTGAAACAGATAGGGTGTTGAGATTCCTATAGCTTAGCCTCCTGCAAAATTACTTCCCTATGTAGATAAAAATTTGGCTCTGCTACAATTCTGAAAACATGTTTTGGTTCCCTTTGTAGGAAAAGGAAACTTGGGAGAGAACAGGACATTAAAAATGAAGGGTAACCAATATGCATCACTGTGTGTTATAAACCGAAATCTGAAAAAGCTACCAAAATTCATCTTTAATTAAGAATATCCTTAACCAAGATTTTCCTTTTCAATGACCTCTCAATAGTTTTCTCATCTTTACTCACAATATGGAGCCTGAACTAACAAAGCAGTTAATGCTGGAGCTTGCAAAATATTGTTAGAATGACAATTTGACAAGTGATTGCAATCTTTTAGAAGTGGCAAAAATTTTCCTCTTTACAATATCTCTAAAACATAATAAACCCATCTGTGCTACAATTGCATCTACTTTATTGACAGTGCTTATTGTTTAATCGTCACAATTTTCAATCCAATAGTACCTGACAATACCACCCAAACCCAAGAATATTTTCTTTGCTCTTACTATTGCATAACTTTTCAATAAATTTGCAGCCAGTTTGGACACTTGCATATTTTACTCATTCTAAGACTTCAAAAGATTCAATGAATATATTATGTTTTTCTTCAAAGACAATTTTCTTCTTAAAATTCTTTGCATTGAATTTTATGTTTTCTGCTTCCCATAGGAAAAATCCACTTCAGTTGTTTCTGAGACAAGGCTGGTTATTTTCAGGAAAGAAGCAACAAGATTTTTATCAAGTCACAGTGCACATCCATTCACCTATCCTGCCTTCATAATTATTGACACAGTATGTTAAGAAACATAACAACAAATAGGTGAAAAATATATCTCAAGCATTTTTTAAAAAAACTTGGCATTTAGAGAAACAATACAGTTACACACTAAATATTAAGTGCAACAATTCCCAAAACTGCAGTGTAAGAGGTAATAGACTTATATGGACTATACAGGGTCTAGGCTATTAAAATTGCTAGCAGTTTTTAACCAGTAACTGATAACTGATTACAGAGTTTTAAATGAAAGCAAAAAAGAAACAGATGTGACTTCAGAATTTCAATGAGAGCATTGTGATAGTGCATAAGAATGCTTCTCACCTGCTGCAGTACATGTCTCTCCCTCAATGTCATTAATCTTCTGTGGAGCTCTACTAGTTCATCAAGATATGCCTAGAAACAAATTCCCCCCATAAACAACTTGTTAATTAAGTCGTAGCAATGTAATTCATAAACTTCAGATGCCTTCAAAACCAGTAGGAATACAAATCTTATTTTAAATCTTGGAATCATATAATATCCTGAGCTGGAAGACACCCAGAAGGATCACTGAGTCCAGCTCCTGGCTCTGCACAGGACAGTGCCATGGGTCACAGCACGTGCCCAAGAGCATCGTCCATTTTCCAAGCTTCTGGAACTCTGTCAGGCTGGTGCTGTGACCAATTTGCTGGGGAGCCCATTCTGGGCCCTACCCACCCTCTTGCGTGAAGAACCTTTTTCTAATATCCAACCTCTCCTGACTATTTCAGACTGAGTGACATTCCCTTGGGTCGTGTCACTAGTCACCATGGAGAAGAGATCAGTGTTGCCCCCCCTCTTCTTCTCAGGAGGTCCTCCCTCAGATAACAAGTTCTTCCCCTACAGTCTCCTCTTCTCCAGGCTGAGCAGACTAAGTGACCTCAGCAACTCCTCATAAACATTCCCCTCTATGCCTTTCCCTATCTTTGCAGACCCCTTTGGATGCTCTCTAATTGCTTTAAATCCTCCTTAGAGCACAGCACACAGGACTTGAGGTAAGACCAAGCTCTTCTTTGAGGTATTTTTTTTATTAATAGTCTGGCATTCTCTAGCTTAATATAACACAAATATAAATTTTTGTGTTTTTTTAACATACTTCATGTTGACAGAAATATTTTTAGGTGGTCATTCGTTGTATCTCAACTGTGCCAGAAAGCATCATAAGATTGGGGATGCCAAAGCAGCACCTTTAGAAAATATATCGTATCTTTCTACATGAGAACCAAACCCAAAGACTCAAAATCAAATCAATGCTTGTCTCTAGAGGTATGTAATTTCTTTTGTATCACAAGGAAAAGAAAGACTAAGCAAGATTAATCCAAAGGTAAATTTTAGCGTGTCTTCCCTGGGATGTCAAACATGTCTCACCTCTCCACCTTATTATTAACTTTCTCCTTCAGAAGTGGCTCCTGAGCCATCAAAAAAAAAAAACTTTTTGGTTGCAAGCAGAAAGAGATATAGCACTCAACCTAAGCAACAAAAATGCAAACCAAAATATTAGAGCACTAAAAATCTAGGCACTGCAGATAAAAATTTAGACACTAAAAATTTAGATGCTACAACTTCCATCTTTTGCCTAATATTATCACAAAATTGACACTAATACCAGCAAAATACAAGCTTTCAGAGAAACTTGTCCATAGTGGGCAATTGTGCTATGTTCACTCACGGCAGGATTGAGAGCTCTTGCCCACAACCATTAGACAGATTTAGATCAAACTGTCTCAGTGTTAAATGATAACAGTTGCTTCATGTCATTTTAGTTAACATGCTAAATCACACTGCCACTTCCTAATGCACGGCCCTCAGAAAGGATTCTGGAAAATAGATTTTCTTTTTTCCCCTGATTGATCTGCTGGTTAGGATTACACCTGTGAATTCTCATCTACATTTCATTCCTCTGTGAAGAGCAGTATGAACTCATGGTGGACAGTAGATAAAATAAATAGATGGAAGATTCCCAACTGGTGAAATTTGCCAAATCACCTGATTGAAAAGAAGGAAAAAAAATTCAAAATATGAGAGAAGATAAAAGAATTACAGAAAGAAAACAGAAAAAGATATGCACATAAAGGAATCCAAAGCAAAGATACACTAAGATTTTCATTCTGTAACAAAGTTTGGCATTTGGTAAGCACATTAGTTTACTCAGGAGTAGTTTATTACTATCTCCTTATTTACCTTATCACAATCCCCATTCTTCATTTGTTTATCTGTTTTGTTTTGCTTTATTGGACTTTTTACTTCTAAAATCTGGAAAAGAAAGAAAATACTGTAAAAATTAAATGCATCACTGGATACAACCATATATGGAAAAATTCTGCTGTTAATAAAACAAACTCAAAGCTGAGCTTTTCATTCTTTAATCCATATAACTTACTCATACTTTTCAGAACAAGAAGTAACTTACAGCAGAAAATGCTGAGGTACTGGAATGAGGTGATAATGATATTATTAATCCTTAAAAGAAGGAATTTTACATCATCTAAAGCTTTCTCAACACTTTTTTTTCCCCCACATCTTTCACATGCTGGGAGGATAAGAGGTGATTCAGCAGGTACAAAATGATGCTGAGGGTGTCTCCAGCACCTTTGAAACATCACATTATCACTGTACTTTTCCTGTTCTTTTTTTTCCCCTCAATACTATATCATTTCTTTGACAACAGAGGTTTTCAAACAGTCCTTGAAATCACCATATGAGTTATAACTGAGAAACTAAGTGATGGACAGTGATTTCTTTTCCACATATATGGTACCCTTCCTTCAATGCCACTCACACCCATTTATTATCACTCATACAAGCCAAGATTGCTTCATCTGATACTGAAACAGACTCAAGAAGAGTACATCAGCAAGCAGCATGACATGCTCACTTGATATGCACCTTTTAGAACCAAAGGTAGAAATATCTGGGGGAAAATGAACTGTTGATTGTTCCTTCCATTTTTTCAATACACAACACTCTTTTGAAGCTAAAACAAAAATCACCATGTCATTCCTAACCCAGAATATAACCAGTTCTTCTGAAAAACATCAAAGAAAACGAAGTAATCAGAGATAATGGAATTTCTCCTTCCCTTGGTACAAATTATTAAATTGCATATGTCTTCCCTAGGCTGGCCAGCATCTTATGAATACAGCTGGCAGACAGCTATTTCTCTATCTAGCAAAAGTGACTGCAGATCTAAGTTAACCTTACTTGATTTAATTAGACAAGAGTGATCAATGTTCAGATTCAAGACATACATTTTTGGAGAATAATTCTCATAGTTCTGTTCAACACCCTCTAGAGTTACTGCTGTGTAGACCAGTAGCAAAGTTTTGTCTTGGAAAAAGCCCTACCCAACCCTACAAAAAACCAGAACTTTAATCATGGATTCAGTACCTTTTAGATGCATTTATTGTTTTCACAGGAAGAAAATTCTTGGTTTCAAATAAAACCTTGTCAACAACACAGTATATTTGAAAAAGCAGCTTCTTTACAATGTTCTTGATATGCAATTTAAATTTAACATCTTAAGCACTTTATAGATGAGATACAGCACTAATCATGACTGAGGAAGCTAATACAAATACAAACTATGTCTTAGTTCTTCAGTTCTATAAAGGAACTTAGTTAACACAAATCTGATTTCATCAGTAAAAGGGGTCATCCTTGCAAGAAGCACTAAGGTACCAAGAAGAGATTTCAAATGTGGCTATAGTCTCATAATGCTTCCTGAAATTTCCAATTTGCAGATCGAGTATAAAATTTAGCTCATTTAAAGAAATGGAGGAAGATATGTGAAGGTATTTTAGCTGAAATACAGCTATTGTTTGGAGTGTCTAAATGTGGAGGTAGACCTTCTATTACATCACCAACAGGCAAAGGAGCACAAAAGATGTGACTGAGTGGGCTGCTGATATTGAGACATACAGTTACTTAACAATTGCACTGGCTCTTTAGAAATCAGTCTTCATTAAACAACAAGTCATAGACAGATTTTTTTTTTTCTTCTGCTTATGTGGTCAGTAAATGCAACATTCTTCAGCCCTACAGACAGCTTTTTAACCTCAAGGCTATCTCTTTAAAACTTGTAACTTTTGTACAGACAACTTAAAAGAGCCTATAGTGGTAGAAAAAAGAATATTTTCTATACATGAAATTACATTCTCTCTGTGCACAAAGTATTTCCTAGTTTGTGGGTTTTTTTCCCCCATAGTGTATTTGAACTTAGCTAATATGAATAATAATATTTGGTCTTTGTACTATAGCTTGTGTTGGAAACCTTAATTGAAAAACAAAGGCAAGTAAATAATATCTGCCAGATGATTGAAGCAATTATAGAGAAGAGATATAGAAAAGACCCATCCATGAAACTCACTCTCTAAACCACAAATTTGTGTTAGTGCACATAGACACTATTTTAACTATATCACAACTGTAAGTAGCCAGTATGTGTCCTAACAGCTTTACTTATGATGCAACTAACAATGGGAATTAATCATGCCTCCTTAAAATAACTGAAAAATGGTGTATTTTATTTTGTAAAGAATGTGAGTTTTTATACTTGATTTTATATTTCAAGAGTCTTTCTCACTGCAGGGGAGGTACCAGCCAAAAGCTGATTCTTATTTGTCTGTGGAGTATTTTGCAACTCTAGGTAATTTACTTTGTTTTCTTTGAAAAACTGAACTACCCTATGTTGCTACCACAGAAATAACAACCATGTTAGCTTTTACAAATCTGGAACAATACTCTGATGCAAAGTAAAAACTGTTGTGGCATCTACTGCAGTAAAAAAAAAAATTGTATCTTTCTAGATGAACACTGGTGGGGAGAGGAGAAGAGATGCATCAATAAACCCTTGAGTTTGATGTTAACTCTGTCTACTGCTAATACAAAGCCAAACTGCATTTTTTTTACCTGGCTGTTGTTCGTTTTCAGTACAGGTGGTGCTGGATCATGATGCAGAGGTGAGGAAGCTGAGCTGCTATCACTATCACTGCCATCACTGAGACTAACCCTGCAGAAAAAAGAGCATTACATCTGCATTACATTTGCAGACAAAGGGCTGTCAAATGGGGTGAGCCAACCTTGGACTTTGAGGTAGGGACTTTACCGTGACCAATCCCTTGCTAAGCAGGCTATTGTTAATCAAGGTCACATGGAAGAGAGGCATCTGAGCAGGGCTGCACTCTGGAAAAAACCCTTTGTGGTACAAAGAAGGAGGCTGCCTGTCTGCACCTGGCTGAGACAAAGCGTCCAGTTAACAGGAGCTAACTTTACAGAAATGGTTAAACACCTACAAAATTGAACTGCTTCTCCCTATCTCAGTTCACAGCCATGTCAAAGAAGGAAAGTGTTCATTTAGGGATACTTTTCTGTTCTTCTACAGCTGTACTTCTCACCTGAATATGTGTTTCATTGAAAAGTTCCTTGTTTATTGTCTAAAGTAACACAGCTTTTCTTGATTAAAATTTAAAAACTTAGCATCTCAGAAGAGGTCACATAAAAAAGCTCAGCTCCTAGTCAGTTTCCCCCTTAATTTACTTATGAACAACAAGGAATATTTTTTTGTTGGAAAAAACCCCATTAGTTACTTGGGACAAAATGAAGCAGAAAAACAATAGCCTTAAAGTTCCATCAAAACAAAATTTCCACACTTGGAGACAAGCTGAGCTTGAAAAAATCCTCTACACAATCACTGAGAACAACAAGTTATCAAACACCTAGTCAACTTGGTCTTTTTCTCCTTGATTCCAGCTGCTAAAGTACACCAGGGAAGCAGCAGCACTCACTAAAGTTTTCCTGTTATCTTCCCATTAAAGCAGTAACTGACACTGGCACTCAGGTGCTGTGCACTAATAGAGAAATCCTCTGAATTAGAACCTAATATGTAGAGTGTTTGAGAGACACTGCTTCAGATCTTCTATAACCTTGAACCCCATTTGGATGGAGCTTCAAACTGCCTGAACACCATATGAATTTTCGAATGCCTTCTGAAGGTTGCAGCAAGGATGCAAAACCTTCTTTTAAAAAGCAAAAATTTAAAACATTTCTTTGACAGATGCTTGCTTTATCCTCTGATGCACTTTTATGCATTATCTACTGCATGCAGCACAGAATTTACCTGGAATTCAAATTTCATTGATTTGGATTCAATTTAACAGCTTTATCTAAAATCAGTAAGCTAAGAGGTCTTGTAACTATGTATAGAATAGCTTATTCAACAGTTGAAGGACAATTTTCTATAATTTTGGCCAGGGAGTAATTATAACTCCTCGTCTCAAATCACAGTTGCATTAAATCAAGTAAAGTCAAACAAATTAGGATCATCATAACCATATTGATTAGTACAAGAAGAGTTTGTATCAGGAACAGCTAGTTGTGTTAATGTTTAAAAGGGGCTCTTTTATGTGAAGATGCTTTAGAAAGAGTGAATTTTCTGCCCATTTGCTACTCAGCACTCTGAGGACATCAGACCTCACCTTGTTACTAAGAAACACTACAGGTCTTGGTCAGAAGGCCACTTGCAATCACAAGACACTCACCTGCGACTCCTGCCTCCTCCTCGTGTATTTATAGGTTGTTCCAACTCAGAATCATTGTCCTTCTCATCTGCTTCATCTGATTCATCTTCATTATCATCTGAATGCAGATCTTTCATTATAGTCCTCAACGGACCTGAAACAACAGGGACAATAAAACACAATGAAGTTTACTTCCCAGTGTTTTGGGCAATTTACCCAGCTTTAAAAACTATCTTCCCCACAGTGTTGAGAGAGGAGAGTCTTAAAAATTAAACAAACCAGGTAATGCACTGGGGGATTATACTGCAGGGACCTGTTCATGTATTCATGAATCTTCACTCACAAGAGCAACTCAGTCAGCATCAACAGACTTACTCTTGACAATGAAGTGATTCACATGTTCAAGTGCTAGAACAATTTCCACCCTGGACCAAAGCTGAAGTAAATAAAATACTGTCATGACAGGAGAAATTGACATGAAATGTATTCTTGCCAAAAGCATGCTTCTTTTGCTGGGGTTTAGTATTTTTTGCTTTCTCATTACATGTGAACAAAGATCTACAAGCACATATTGATCAGTATTAGTACATTTGTAATGTTAATCCACGTATGAGAGGTTGGTTCTAACAAATCACTCAGACTAAATTGTACTGTACAAGACAGTCATTTTGTCTTCTTGGTTTTTATGTATTTTACCTTCAGCTATTCCCATTTTTTCATGGTCAGTTTCAAGTGGAGTAAGTACTTCATCCATGTTGATAAGTATGAAGTACATCAATACCACCCAACACCATATTATCACTTTTCCTGAATTAGCAAGAAGGCACAAAACTTAATTTGCTCACAAAACTGCATTAAACTCAGTTTGGGTTTCGACTTTCACTCTTTTTGCTCTAAGAGACAGTTACAGAAAGAAGAATATGTTCAATAGAGCTAGGAAGTGTAATACTGTAGTTACTTGAAATAAGGATGGGCAAAAGCTGATTAGAAGAGGGAAGAAAGTAAAATGTCCTGGTGCCATAGGACATTTAACTATGAAGTACAGTCCATCTAAGACATGAAGCAGTATTGAAAGCACCAGTGATGGCTGTAAGAACATCACTTACTATAATGGCTGAAGGAATTCCTTCAGCTGAAGGAATGCAGTACTGACATGAACAAGCTGAGCCTGAGATGACGCTTTCAACTCTTTATTTGCGAATGGGAAATCTGAGTCAAGGAGTGTCCTCCCTGGTCACTGCCAGTGAGACATCTGTCAGTCAGTGCCAGACTCATAACAGTGTTCCTTCGTGGGGGGGAACACTTTTATGGACTGTTCCAGACGTAGCAAAGCTCAGGCCCATAGGCATTTTGACCAGTTTTGTGCAAGTGGCTTCAAAGCTGTTGTTTGGAATGATTTATCACTTCTGTAAATAGGCACAGTTTGGACAGTTCAGAGAAATGAGTTCTTTCTCTGTTTTCACATCCTAGGAAAGAAAACCAGATGGTCCTCATGGGCAAATTCCTGGTTGACCAGACATTTGTATAGGTGAAAGTATAGAAGTGCTTCTTGTCCATGCACACACAGCTGATATGTATAAGCAGCTGAGTTGTGCTCCATTTTCTGTCCCTGTTTGAATCTCAGGAAGACAATGCTCATTTGCAAATGACAACTTGTAGTCTGACTGAATAACCTACCATCTGACCCTTGAAGGAGGGAAAGGGCTTTTATAGGAGCAGTAATAAAAAGAAACTTGGACTCCTCAGACACATCCATCACTGATAGCACCATAAGCATTGAACAACTTGTCATTCAAACAAGTTCTCACTTAGGGTAGGAACACATCTGGGAGTCTGAAAAGAACATTGCTAGCTAACTTTTCAGTAGACTTCTCTACCAATCAACAAAGCATTAATTTTTAGGGTTTTTTTTCCTGGCATGGATAGCAATTTCCTGCTCCTTGCACACTTACTCTAAAATTCCATAACAACTTTTTCAAGGGTTTGCAAAGTTGTTACCTCCTAAGATACCAGAATATTTAAGGAGAAACTGAAAATAAGGAGAAACATAAGCAAGTTTTCTTGGTAAACAAACAGATAAATATCAAAGTAAGCCCCAAGGACAGAAGAACTTGAGGAATCTCAGGTTAGCCCACCCACTGTTTATACAAAAAGAGGTGAAAAAAGTTCATGCTGTGTTTTTTTGACACCTGAGTGAGCACTGGAGTCTACATGCAACCAAAAAAGATCAACAGTCCTGGCAAGTAACTTCCAGGTAAGGGGAAAACTTCTGACCAGAGCACAACATCCATTGTGAACATGCCATGGTATGTATGCCTGGTGCTCCATACCTTTGATATACAAAGCATGGCCTGGGCAATAAACACAGTTAACTGGGGTTCTGGAACTCCCAGAAAGAAGCAGAGACCACTATTTACTGCAGCAAAAAAGAGAAGATTTATATACCATTTGCACTTCGGAACTGTTCACACTGGAAGACAAATCTCCCATCTATTCTAGAGAAGAACTGAAAGACAATCTATGATACATCTTGTATATGATCCAGAAAAGATGGATGGGACCAGTCTGCTCAGAAGAAATTACTAGAGTCAACAAATTTTTTCCCAGCAAAGACAACAGATGCAGAAGTAGGTATCTAAGTATTTTTGCTTGTAATGGACAGTTCATACCACTAAGGTTTTCATAAGAACAAAAATGGGGGTTCAGCAGGAAATGTATATGTTTATTGCTAGGTAAATATCAACTGCCTGAAGCCAGTCATTACCACAGTTCACTTCAGCTCTTGCCTTCTTTCACATGGAATAACACTACCAGAAAACATGAGAAAATCAGTACCAGTCACCTACAGAAAGGCACTAGGACAGATATGCATCACATAATCATGCCCAAATCTATTTAAAGTCAGTGTGCCTGAGGCACTAATGTATTGTCGTAACTTTAAATCAAGTCTAACATTGAAGAATATAAATGGCTAAAACAAACAATTTTGTTTAGTCAAAGGCTGTTTTTTTAATGCTCCTTATCCAAAGAATAAAACAAAAACTCATCAAGAATGTATCAGTTGTACAATCTTATAAACCAGGGAAAGAAGCCAACCAGGAACTAAGTAGTTTAATAGACCATGGAGGATGAATATCAATTTATTTACAAAAAACATGCCTTGGCAAAGCGTCCAGGAAGAAAAATGCATTCTTTATTGAGTTTCAAGCAAACTGAAATTATTAGCCAGAAAACCAAAATGCAAACTTTAATTCTAACCATCATCCTTCCCTGCCATGAATTTGAAGTAAATATTGTGTGCTTTTAAAACCTCCCAGTTGTATGGGACACTCACAGCCTTTGAAAGGGTCTAGATAAACACATCTGTGGGTTTCTGTTGGCTGCCCATGGGAAACCACACTCTTCCAGGCCTTCATATGGAGCCAGGTGCCATGCTACCTAACCCTGCAGAAGGACAACTCAGAAACATAAGTTCTTTTGGGTTTATCCTCTGTTAAGTGACTGGCATGTATTTACTCCTTCAAAACAACCAATATTCACACCCTTTTCTCAGATTCCCAGTTTCTTTCTCTCCTTTTTTTGCCCTTACAACCACATCGGAAAAAACAACCTGCAGAGAAGTCTTTAAATCAAAACTGTGGCCAGTTCAGGCAGTGAAACACAGAAGAAAAGAGGTCATGAGATGCCATGAGTTCTGTTTTTATTGGCCCCTTCATTTCACACATTCAATTTCTTTTCCTTTACTGGTACCTTGTTGTCTGTTGTTTTGAGATGGTGTAAAACTGGAACTGGAACTGGAGCTGGAACTGGCAGGACTGTGCTGTTCAGACTTAAAAGAAAAAAAAAAAGAAAATAAATAACATTTTAAGAGACTTTTTTTTGCCTAGAAAAACTCTTATGGTTAGTTACTGCCTAAAGCACTCTGTCAAGAAAAAAACTGTGGGGCCAAATAATACTCAAAGACCTTAACTTCAGGTGCCAGTAAGGCAAACATTGTGGAAATTACTATTGCACTCACCATACATACACACTACTAAACATAAACATTATGTTTAGTTCTTCACTGACTAGGAGTCTAACAAGGAGTTTCCAAAGCCTTGTTTGAAAGATTATAAAACATGAAAGCCTAAATAAGTTTATAATGCACATAAGGCATCTCTGTTATTGTCATAGTGGAGATAAAATGTTTTTCAAATTAGCAATGACATTGTGGAATTGAAAAACAAAAGGCCTGAGCAGACCACACTAAATGCCAGAAAACCTCTGACACTTTCCTTTCATCTCCCTTAGAAAATAAGTCTTAATATAGGGGTTGAAATTAAACTTTTATGCTGTTACTGAAATTCTGCTAGCACTTTTCATATGTATCAAAACTCTGCAGATTGCAAATGTGATTGAACCAGAAGGTATGCTTGGTTACAAGGAGAAATTATCTAGAATTTAGCAATTACAAAAGAGAACTGAATTTTTAAACAGGGTTATTAAAATCAGTGTGCATTATTTAACAAACAGTTCAACACATTTTTCCCTACTATTGTTTAAAATGTGTAAATTTCCCTTTAGTTTAATGAGGAAGTCCTACTACTTCATAAAAAAATTCTGTACTATTTTATTCTTCAGTACTTCAGAAGAGTCTTGCTTCCTGCTTTAGGTTGCATGTCTCTGTATACTTTTTGGCTGATTCCTAAACTCAATCACTTCATTCCTAGACTTGCATACTCATCTGTGTACATGAGACAAAGTATGAATCTGGTATGCGGGCAGAGGGGATGCTAACAGAACACAAAACAAGAAGTGGCCATACAGATTAGGAAATAATGGTCTAGTATTGAAAATTAAACTGGCTTACCCTTTAAATTTTGTACCATTGTGTTATCATGATGTGTTATCCAGGCTAACCAACATTTTTTGACTCTCCTTGCCTCATGATTAAGATAGAGCAAAATTGTTCTCAAAAGCGACAGCAGAAATATCCGGTCTTTAAAACTCAGTTTTCATGCACACAGGCTACCTAAGCCTAACAGTTGCTTTTTCTCCATAAATCAATCTATTGTTGCCCTTCATAATAGAGCAGGCAGATTTACAGCCTTTTGTGGCCTTTTCTCACGATGAGAGATGCCTGTTTGGGCAACAGAATGCTTGAGAACAACACCATTAACATCTGCTCTCCTTAAATCAACACCAGCTCCAGTTCTCACAAACACACAGTCAAAATACAAACTCTGTACCTGACTGTGTGGGTATATGCCACTATATACAACTGAATCAATCCTGTGCAACAAAACCCTACTCAATCAACTACACAACCCACTGCAGAGTACCAAGAGAGTTTCTTATACACTACACAGCATCAGACCTTTTTGGAAACTGCAGCATTACTTGACACTGCTCGGAAAATTAAGCATTTAAAAAATTCATTTTTCCTTCCTGAGTTTCTGTAAAACCGTACAAGATTTTTAGCTGTAAAATAATCATGATAATATGAAACATACTGCAGTGATGAAGAACAAGTGTCCATGCAAACTTTAAAGACATCAGCAAACTAAGCTCAGTTGTCTAGCTGTAGGCTACTCTTAAACATCTGATTTATCTGTAAATTTCTGCTTCTTGCAGCAAAATTACTAGCTGAGAACTGTTTTCTGCAGATTTCCATTAACTGTATTTTTTTCTTTATTCATTTCAACATAAACTTCAACTTAACTAAAGTCAATTCCCTCAAAAAGAAAAAAAAAGCAAATAGTAAAAGACAATCATATTTGGTTTTCAAGTGCAAAAAGTCTAAAAAGAAAAAAAAATCAAATAGGCACTGAGACTATTTAAATATTACAAGTTCACTACTTTCTGTTTTAACCAGCTTGCTTGAAATTAAAAAAAGGAGAAAGGCCTAATCTCATTGTCATTATAAGGCATGAAAATACCAGTGAAATTGCTCTGTACCAAAATTTCCTCCCAGCATTAACTAATTGGGTCAATATCACAAGAACAAATGAATATAGATACATACAAAATTGTATATTTTTCTGGTAAAAAATTTGCTCTGCTTTATCAAGATCATTTTTAGAACTCCAACCACAAAAACTCCTTATAAAACACACTGATCATCCAGCCTTATTTAAAAAGGGTTCTTAATAACTTTTGAAACTATTTACTTCATTTCCTTAAACATACCTACATTTGAAAATTTATTCCAAGGACTATTGATTAGCATAAACATTAAAACTGTTAAGTATTGGAAATGAAACCTTCATTCTTTGACTGAGAAATCTGGGTGAGAACACACCCAGAGGAGACAGTTGCTTTTAACCCAAGCATGAATATTATTAACAAAAAAGATTTGCCTTTTCAGAAGGAACTAAAAAGATGCCTTCCATATATGAATATGGACTGATGCCAACAGCACCCATGCTTCTAGTTAACAGCAGGTGTCTTTTATCACTTAAGCAATGCTTTTTGACAGTTTTACAGATTCTTAACCCATGGACTTAGTTATTTATGACTTTACACACTTGGGCTTTCTGCTCTTATTCACTGGTTCCTAATCACAAAATATTTCTTTTTTAATAGGTCTGAAATTAACTAAAGCCTATCTTTCAACAATAAAATTTTAAGATAGTACCAGCAAAGAGCTTCCCTCACATGGCCTTTTCCTGTTTTACCAGTTTTCTCTTTCTACAGACAAGCTAATGAGAGTCTGGGCCTGAACTGTTCATTAGTGCAATGACCCCATATGATTTATTGCATTCTTAGACAGTCTCCTTCGTTTTAGTGCTCTCACAGTGATGCACAGTAGACAGTGGTTTCTTTATTAGGCCTGATGGAGGGATTCTGTGCTTTGAAACTGTTCATCAAAAAAAGGCAATTTTCTTTGGCCCAAGTTTTCCATGAAAAGGTATCTTTTTTTACCAGTAATTTTTCTAAATCACCTGGCTTCTTCCATTTCCAAATTCTTGTCTGTTTTTACAAATAGCTCACTCTTGAGCTGCAAACAACTTTCAGGCAAACCCACCTGTTTATAGCAAAGGATAAAATGGAGCTGTTTGTGTAATATTTTATGGTTGTCTCAATTTGTACAACTTCTTGGGGCTGCCTGGTCCAGGGCCAGGAGCTGGACTTAGATGATCCTTGTGGGTACCTTCTAACTCGGGATATGATTCTACGACTCTAAAAATAAGCCCCAACATTTCAAGCTTTTTATTGATTCTTACATTAAGAAATAGAAGGTATCTGTATGTGGCTGGCCTTTCCCTGAACTATTCTTGAAGGAAGCTTACATATTGTTTCTTGAAGTAAACATTTAAGTGGTGTAGCAATATCTCATTTCATATCAGTCTGTCTACATATTTCTTATTTTTTATGCATGATAGTGTAGAGACAAATGTTTCCCAGTGCTATACATATTGAGAAGTCTGTACACTTGATACTACTTAAACAGCTGAGCATTGCTTCCACATCCATTTGTGCAAATACAGAATTTCAGGGAGGAGGAACATGCTTCTGCTGCAGGACAAGCCTTTTTCTCTAACAGGACTCCTGTACTTAAAACATTTACTGCCACTTAAATGCCCTGTCAGTGACCTCAGCTTTCAGTAGAATAATTCAACCTATCTGTAGCTCACACAAGAGGTCACCACTGAACATCAGCAAACAGGTTTCCACTGCAAGGTAACCAATCATAGGCTGCCCGGGGTGATTTTGGCATCTCCCTCCCTAACAGATATTGAAAAAACCATCTAGACAAGATCCTGGCCACCCAGCCCCAAGTGGCCCTGGCTGAACAGGGCAGGTAGACCAGATGATAGAGGTACCCTCCAACCTCAAGGAGTCTGTGATTCTCTGAATTTGAAAACACAGCTTTCATTTAAAAAGTATCATCAAGAAAAGACCTTAATCAAATCTTAGCAACTGTTTCCTCCGAAGAACCACACTGAATCAAGTGGGGTTTGCATTTCCTTACAGACTGTCCTACTGAAACATGGTATTTAATTTTGAAAGATCCTTTTCTTTCTGCATTTATGAATAGAGTTTATTATACCTTTATAAATAAAAAGGAAATTTGAGACAATGCTAACATAAAAACTCACAAATAGTCGAGATTTAGACAAGATTCATGAACAAGAGTCTAAGGAAAAAATGTGGATAAAAATTTTTTGCAGAACATTGTACAATAAAATTGAAAGATGAAGCATTAGTGATGATTGTTCTTTAACCTGTAGGGTATTTTTCCTGAAAATACCTTAATGGAAAAGAGTGGCAGACACATAGTAAAGCAAGCAAAAAAGTACAGGAGGGAAGATTAAGGTTTTCTTTGTAGAGCAGCTGAATACTACACTTTCCATGGATTTCAGGAGTACAAGATAATGAGCAAACTAAGGATAAAATAAATTAAAATTGTGTATGGTCACATGAGTATGAACACCATCCTTAAACACAAGAGGCAAACTGATGGAAGTTCTCATCAGATAAGCCTTACTAAGAAGGATAAAGACTGTCCTGGATATGTAGGTAATGCTGGCAAAGACAGACTTATACAAAAGCTTTTCAAATCTAGCACTAAACACTGTGCCAGACCACCAAAAATGTGTTTAGACCACCAAATTGTATTTAGACCACCAAAAATGTGTAAGAAGACATCAATATTTGTGAAGAATTGATAAAGTATAAGCAGCACAACATGAAAAATTTAACAGGTATTATTCCATACGAAGTCTGAACTAATGTGGAAAAAAAATTAGGCCAAACAATATAATATATACTTGTTTGGAAAACACTGCTCATTTTATAAGCCCAGTGGCATCCCCTGTGATGAGAGGATGGTGACTGTCCCTCTGC